TTTTTTTTTTTTTTTTTTTTTTTTTGCCGCACCGAAAAGCATAGGGTCCGTTGCGCATAAATGTTTGTTTTATAAATATAACATCCTTGCCCACTGTCGTGGGGTTACAAAACGGTTAAAAGCGCTTACCCAGCGTTCGCACATAAGTGATGAAACAATACGAGTCAACATCTGAATGCTCCTTAGGTACTAAATTGCACGCGAAGGCAACTTTCTACTTATCCTTCTTCCGGTTCCTTTCAACACCATGTATTTTTTATTACATGCTATATTTATGTGTTGATGCCATTTTCTTTTTTCCCCCCCTCCTCCTTCTCTTTCTGGGGAGGGCGATTTTATCATGCTCACCTTGTAAGAGCTGCCATCCTCCAGTCCTCCGCATATGAACCACCCCAAACGAGTCACCTCCTAACATACGCAAAGCAAAATAGAAGCGCAAATGTGCATAAAAAGAGAACTGCAAAAGGGGGATATGTTCAGCTAAACTGACCCCCCGCACAAAACAACATTGTTTATTTTCTGAGTCGTCCTCTGTTCTATTTTATCCCTCACACCAATGGGGAAAGACATGTAAATAGAATTTGGCCAACCGAATATATATCAATCGTTGAGCAGTCCTCCTTGAGGTGTGTGTAACGGAGGTATGGAAGCTCCACTGAATCATTACTCAACTCACACACCCCCGACATGGCATATAAGTATACAGGGTAGAGTTGCAGCAAGTGGTTGGAGAGGAGTGTACCCCGAATGGAGGTGAAAAGGAAATCGACACCTTGTACCTGGTCATCATATTGGAAAATAAAAAAATGACATGGGGGTAAATAAACGCAGCAACAATCGAGACAAAAGAGCACACCGACCACAGTGGAGAGAAAAAAAAAAAAAAAAAAAAAAAAAAAAAAAAATCAAATCAACGCGACGAAAAATGACGCAACGCGACGAAAAATGACGCAACGCGACGAAAAATGACGCAACGCGACGCGACGCGCAAGGACAGTTTTGCAAAATCGAATGAGTTTCTTTTCACAGGAGCAGGGTAAAAGTAAAAGGGGACCCTCTTCATGTGAAGACCCCAGCGATGATAATGTGGCCGTTTCCCACACTGCCGAGTATGCACTGTGGGATGGCCCCACATCGGTCCATTCGACCGTCCTTCCGCATTATATGTTTAGCAGCATGTGCTTCTTCTGACTTATGTAGGTCTTCCCCTGGGGGGCTTCAAACTTTGCTGTGTTCGTAACCCCTGCGTCTGCATATTTTACGATGTGGTTGTATCTCTCCCGTAGTTCGTTCAGTTCTTTCTTGATCCTAACCGTGGAAAAAAAAAAAAAAAAAAGTACGCATGTGTACGTACGTGCGTATAAATGTACCCACCCACGCTGCTGATGCTGCTCCTGCTTCTCGTACAGCGCGCTTACTTTATCTTTTCCACTCCGTCGTGCATTTTTCTAATGAGGTACTACAGAAAAGGGGGAGGAAGTGGTGTCTGCAGAGATAGTTACACACGCGTATGTGTGATTACGAACGCCAAGTGAATTGGCCCAATACGCACGGGCGCATGCCACGACGGCCGTACACGCCTGTGGGGACCTACCTCGTGGTAACTCAAGTTAGTGGTGAACTCGTTCAGGTAAAGCGATCTGTGGGGGGGGAGAAATGTTACGTAGGGGGGTGAAGCGCGCAAATGTGGAAAAGGTCTATAGTAACATCCTCGCGATGCTGCTTCTTGGCGATACCCGCTGCTGCTGTAGCGCATCGGCGAATCCCTCACCTGCTGCCGCTGTTCAGGGAGTTGTAATAGTTGAGCTCCACTTTTTTTATTTCGTTCATGATCTTCCGGTCTCGGTACTTTATGCAGCGGGAGAAGAGAATCTTCAAAAAAAAAAAAAAAAAACACACACACACATTAATCGGTTAATCGCGTCAATCACGTTCATCACATCAATCACGTCAATCACGTTCATCACGCTCATCGCGTCGATCGCGCGGGACGCTTATCCCCTTACGTAGTGCGGCTTGCAAGTGTGCAAACGTGTAAATTTATATTTCCTGTTTTGAACATTCTTCTGATACTTCTTAATCATACAGGTGTCCAGATTGTTGTAGTAGTTTAAACACAAGTTTGCGTAGGTCTTCTTTACGCCTCCATTTTTTTGTGGCATTAATTGGGGATTTTTTTTCGTGACATAATTATAAATACTGTCCTCTGCGTAAATATTATTTTTATGTTCATCGTACGTGTAGTTTTTGTCATATGACATGTGCACGTACATGTCTTGGTACTTTTGCTGGTCGTTCTCCTGCCCCTTCTTCTGATTAATTTTTAATTTATTTTGGTAAATATTATTTGAATTGTGCAGGCTGTCTCTGTCGTATCGGTTATATATATCCACTGGGGGAGGTTGAGTTCCTTCCGAGGCGTCGCCCATGCTGTCGGCCTCATAGTCGGGGGGGGAGATTACTTTCGGGGTATCTTCTCCATCGGGGGGTTCCTCACTTGGGGCCACGGTATGGGGAGATTCTTCACTTGACCGTTTCCCCTTCTTCTCTAACACATAGCCTACATAGCGTGGCTTCAGCGGCAGGTTGATTTTGTAGACGTAGCTGTGCAGATCGTTCAGGTTATATCCGTATCTCTTCTCAAACATGCTTATGTTGGTTTTATTGTATTTCTGCACACGGGAAGTGAGTGGAAAAAAAAAAAAAAAAAGGGGGGGAGGGTCTTAAATGAGTCCATCACGTCGGCGCATGTTGGAATGCAAAGGGTTTTCAAAGGAGGTGGAAAAAATAAGCACATATATCGTTGCACACATGTAAGGGTAACACCACGCCTGCTGCTCATTACATTTTCCTTTAACCCGAGGAAATTCCCCATGGCATTGCTTCGTTGATACGACGCTTTGGAAAAGGGGGGGGGGTCAGCGGGTTGGTATCTTCGTTCGGGCAATCCAGTTTGTAAATAGAATTATAAACCACTTGTGGTTTGTTCATTTATTCCACTCCATAGCTCTGCGAACGATTCACAAAGTTGGGAATACGTCACTAATGAGTTATATAACGTGGTCATTCTGTTTTGTTTAGTTTTTTTTTTTTTT